ATGGTATAAAAGAAGACAATATTATCTTGTTTGGGTCCAATTTTATATCATTAAAAGAATAATATCCCCGTTGGTAAGTTTGAAATTTCATAGGACGTGACGATCACAACCGTTTGGAATATAAACACAATTTTTTTTTTTTTTTACATTGACAAAAAATACATTTATACACATACATTTTTTGAAAGGACTTAAAATTTAGGAATACTGCGCAAATATAGTGGTATATGTCCGACAATATATACTTATATAATATAATGTAAATTTATGGTAATAAATAAATTTAATATATATATATATATATATATATATATATATATATATATATATAATGAAAATAAACACACGTAGTTATATAATACCAATGTACAATAATTTGTATTCTAACAATAATATGTTTCTACTCAAACTATTCCCTCCCTGCAAAAATAAATAAATAAAATTTTAAATTCATAAACTAGTTTATTTTATTATTATATTATTTTTGGGCTCATGTGCATGCATGGCAGACTCCGTTAACTCTAATCCAAACAATAAAATTTTTAACTCATGAGTGCAATTAATTGTTACATGTTTCAAAATAATTTTTGTAAGATCTACTAAAATATGACATAGTTTTTGATATTAATGAAACATAATTATTTTAAGAGGTACAAGTCTAAAGAAAAACTTTATTAAGGGGAACAAAAAAGATATTTGAAGTATTTTTTTTATTATAAAAGGTTAAGCTAATAGTTTTCTAATGCTACGATTGCAAAATTATCAATTAAAGTGATACAATTAATAATTTTGCAACTCAAAATGCAAGATGATCACATTTACATTGATATGAAGTTGAATTTAGATTTTGTGACTAAATTGTGTTGAATATATATTTTTTAAAATTTTCTAATATAAACTGGATCGTGCTTTTTATAAAGTACCATAACCGAGTTTTATTTTGTGCGTTTTCAAAATTAATATATATTTTTTATTTTTGTCGTCTCATTTTAATAAAAATTTTGCACTCTTATAAATTTTTTACGTGTAAAACCATATAAAGGCCTCACATTTTCAGAAGTTCAGAATCGACCCTTAAAGGAGTATATCTTTTCAATTTTCTTTTTGGTTTTTAAGATAAATTTTCAATTGAATAATTATCAAATTTATGTTGAAGGACCTGGAGGCACTCTTACTTCGCATAACACTTGATCAAATGACTGATTTGCACAAGTCAAAAGCGTTCCTTCGTGCAGAATTATTTTACACATGTAGATCTATATTTATATTACTTTCTTCTACAACTATATATAAGTGTGAATTTATTTGGAATGTGTTACGAAATTATTTTTTTGATACTGGTCTTTAAATTTAGACTCATATTATATTCAGACAATTGATATTGGTTTGTAATAATTTATAATATATTATATTTTTTTACCCAAACTCATATCACCAAATTAGTGATATGTGTTTTGGTACTGTAGCGATGAAAATAAAGCAAATTTTTGAATTTCTCAAAACGAATTTTCGTTACCAAACATGATTTCGATTTCTATCCAAAATACTCCTACAACAAACAAAATGGTTGTTTTGGTATTGGCAAAAAAACATAACGTTGCATGCCAAACGGGCTGATCTCCGTTTAGCATAGCATTGGAGAGAGAGAATCAAAAATGCGTTTTAAATTTAAAAATTCTCTTTTAATGTCTTTGGTAAAAAGAGTATATTTATGAAGAAAAAAAAATTATAAATAGTGTTTTAGATACAACAGTTATCTCTTTGATATTCTATATATATATATTTTATTTTGTTAAATTAGGGGAGTCTTTAAAATTCTATTGACATGTGTTTTTTTTAGACGGTTGTGACATGTGTTTTTTTAGACGGTTGTTGTAAGCGTGTTTTGAGTCACTAAATAATATTCTCGAATTCTCCACATATAAAAAAAATTAAAATTATTTATATTTAATGTTTCGTTTGGTAAGAAGAAAAGAGAAAGGGTGGATAGATTATAGAAAGGAAGGAACAAATTTTTTTCGTTTGTCAGAAAAAAAATTAGAAGAGAAAAGAAAAGATGATGAATGAGTCATCGTAAACAAATTTTTATCCTTTCGAATAAAGACGAAAGAACCGAAAGAGAGATACAAATATTTTATTTATTTCTCCTTCTCTCCCTTTAATTCAAAATTTTTTGGGGAACTTAAATATTTTTTCAAATTGGGGGAACTTAAATATTTTTTCAAATCGGCAAAGAGAGCGGTTGGCTTCATAAGAGTCCCATGAATCACTGCCCGCTCTCTGTGTTCACACAATTGCTCCCCCTGAAATATATGTGAAAGGGACTGATGCAAATATGAACTGTCCATTCACGAACTCCTTGTGAGGTCGGGTCATTTTTGGAGTTTGAAATTGTATTTCTAATGAAAATGATCATTTGTCTAAAATAAAATTAAAAAATAATGATCATTAATCATCAATTCAATCATCTTTACATTTTTTTCAATTTTTTTTTTTATTTATTTAAGTTGACTCGAAATAGTAACAGTGTTTTTGCTTTAGAGTATTTTTAATACTATTTCGAAATTTATTTGATAAAGTAAATTTATTACAAAAATTTTGAAAGCAAAAATATTAAAATATATTTGGTAAAAAATATTATTAAGTTTGAAAAATTGATTGGATAGTTAAAATGTTATTTTAGATATTATTATTTTTTTTTTTTGGAATTGCGAAATCAACCAAAAGTATTATTTTTATACTTTCGATTTTGAACTCTTTTTTGGAAGCGTTTCGGTACAATTCAAATGACAACAAATATTACCAAGCATGCTTCATGCATTTACTTCGCTACAGTACATTAGCAAAAACAAAAAATACGAAACAAAAGCATTAGCCGAAGATGCCCTTGCTATTAAACTTATACGATTAGAAATGAATTGAGTTGTTCATTAACAATTAAAAATGAATTTGTTTGAATTTCGATTCAAACTTGTTTATTAAGTCGAACTCGAATTTAGTTCGTGAGCGTTTTAGCCAATATTCGATTTTAAAACTTGTTTAGTAAACGAATCGATCATGAATTATGTTAGGCTTAGGTTGTGAATGCTAAACTCGTGTAGGCTCATACGTGTTCATGAAAATAAGCTTGTGCACAAGTTAATAAATATAAATTTGTGTAGGATTGATATGATAAGTTTGAAACTTTTAAATTTACAATGTTAATGTTATTTGGTTAATTTGGTTTGAATGAATGTTTATTCGATTATATAATTTATATTTATAAAAAATGAGTGAAAAAATTAGATTTTATTATTATTATTATTTTGAGTGAAAGCTTTAACACTTATAAATATATTCGGAAAAAAATTACTAACTTGGAACTTAGAGTTAGGTGTTTGCTATTTTTCTTATCAACCCATAATATACTTTAATTGCATTGCATTTCATTTTTCTAAAAAAAATGTAATTATAAAACCATCTCTCCCAAAGCGTCCTTCGCATATTCTTGTCGTGTCTAAACTATAATCATAAAATAAAATATTTAAATTTCATGTCAAATGCATCCTTGTTCAATTTTCTTACTTAGCAACGCTCAAAAACAAAACACTTGTTATTCTTTTTTTCCTTTTCCTCCAAAGCATATATCGAAAATAATGATTAGAGAAAGAAAAGTTTCCACTTCAAGACCCAATAACTAGTATTTTTATTTTAAGAGAAATGATAGGTCTTTCGATCTTAATTGCCTACTCCTCTTTCAAATACAATGTAGTTGGATCATGTTGGAACTTTTAAATTTTTTTTTCGTAAATATCTCTTTCTCTTCGATTCATTCCCAACCACATTGTATTTGAAGGAGAAATCGACAATTAAAGTAGAAAGACCTATCACTCCTCTTATTTTAATACAACTTTGTTAGTTCCAAATTTGTTCTCTATAAAAAAAAATATATTTAAGGAGATAAGTTCTCAAGGTATTGAGGTAAATTCATTAAATACTTAGCTCATGATTATTATTAATTCATCTCTTTTTCTTTCAAATTTGTTCTCTACGCTTTCCTTTCTTTCTGAGTATGATTATTATGAATTCCTCTGTTTTTCTTATCCTTCCTTGTTTTTTCTACTGAAACAAACATGGCCTGAGTGAGAGTATAGAGTAAACTGAAAAAGAAAAAGCAAAAGATAATAATGTTAGAGAGAGAAAGAGATGATATAACTGAAATGATGTCGTTGGCAGAAGAAATCTGTTTTGATTATTCTCCGATTCGACCGATTTCTCAAAAAAGGAGACTTGATATTTCTGATACTCCAGTCCAATACAACTCTCTCTCTCTCTAAAACCTGAATATCTGTAGAGGGTTCAGAGTTCAGACACTTCAAATGGGTGGCGGTTGGCAGGCTTTGAGATGCTTGATTGAACAGTCTGGACCCCACTGGATTGTCTTTTTACATACATACATACATACATACATATATATATATATATATGCACTTTAAGGTACTGTTTGGTATATCATCCATCCACCCATCCATCAATCATCACACATACGAAAATTAAGCAGCAGAAGAAGGGAAGAAGACCTTCGTATCTTCCTCGTATACTGAGGATAAATCTTTATGGCGTCATCATACCATAATACCAGCCGCCCTATTCACAACATCTCTCTACCATGATGAGAGAGAAATCTAGGCACACAGACCCTTTTGTTTGTGACCTTGTTGTGGGTCAGCCTCTCAGCTCAGAATACGTTTATACACACACACATATACCTATGTTTACACACACACACACACACACACACACACATACATACCTGCTGCAACTGGTATCTATTAATTATATATACCATAAACACTTTAAGAACATAAATTTGAGTTCAAGAGAATCACTACAGGAAAGCACACACCATTAAAGTTTCAGGGAATTTTGCAATATAATTACCGATCGAAATCAAATGAATTTTCTAAATTGCTCTTTGAATTGTGTTCCTCGCTTATGTAACAAAAGGCAGAAGCCTAGGCTAGCTAAATCGATGGCCTTTTTTCTTCATTCAATGAACAGAAATGTATCCATACAATCGACAGAGACGAGATGGGCGAAAAAGAATTTTGTTAAAAAAAAATAAAAAAAAGAAGAGCTTTTATTGCCTGTCAACACCTTCATCTAATTTACTCCTATATGCATGTCATGGGCACCTCAATGGCTCATATCAGCAATGTCAACCGCCTATCGAATATTTTGATGAAAAGCATGTAACAAGAATAGAGAAACCAGGAGAAGATAATTCAATCTTGCTCAGTCTAATATCTGATCAGAAGGAATTTGACCGAAGATATCAGGACATGAATCCCAGCTACCCTTTTCTCTAGCTTCCCAATACCCACCGGTGTATCGATACGTATCACTTCCTTTCTCCTTCGTGAACCACTGTGGCTTCCAACCACTCTCTTGCATCTTCCGAGCCTGTCATTGAATTATATTTTACCGTCAGTTACCATCAAGGTAAACTAACTCTTGTTGAAAATTTACGAAAGCAGAAATCAATAACAATTGTCAAAATGCCAGTGCTAATGTGGGTTTACAATCGTGTTCAACCTAACTTGCGGAACAATATATGCATCATATTGTTCTTGCATACTAGTAATACATACCAATGCAATTTGCGGCAAATAAATAAGTAATACATGAAAATGGGAATTATACTTCTACTATGTGAAGACAATCCATCTAAAAAAAAGTTCCGCAATGTAGAATGTACAAATCATTTAAAACAACAAACAAGTTCCGCAATGTAAAATATCCTAATCAATAAAAACAATCTCAATTCTATACCTAGTAATGCCAGACCTTTCCAAAGTTAAAAATCTGGATCTCTGATTTGATTTCCCACATACTAAACCGTGTTTGGATCATTCCATAATAAAAATTATCCAATTTATTTATATAGCAACCCCTAAACTAAGTAGTACAAACATGAACTTTGGACATGGCACAATATGACATCATAAGTTGAAACGTCTAATTCTGAAAACGTAGGGCATAGACACAATGTGGACAAGGCTATACATATGTAGAAAAAATTATTTACATGAATATATTGAATAAGACTTTCATAAAACTTTATTTAATTTTTAATTTCTATATTAAGACGTAATTCAATAGATGATATTATGCAAAATCATAGTGATTATTATATTATAGAGACAAATTTTATCATATTTGTCACTATCAAAGTCGTGCGACGAACTAATGGCTATTTATATATGATGTAGTACTTGAAAAATTACAGAGTTTTACTATTTTTCATCAACCTCAAAATGAAAAAAATACACAAATCATAACTCGTAACTAATAAACTATAAAAGAACAATGTTGCAGAGTAATAAAACCAAATAAAAAACAAGACATTAGAATAATAACTAGCATCATTCAATTACAAGTTTAAAATTATTATGTATCGACTACATAAGTGAGTAAAAGTTGTTAAATAACTTCACATATTTATACTTTAACCCAATTTTCTTTCAAAAATTATCTTTTAGACCCCCGAAAATAAGACACGTGTGTCGAACACACACCCCTGGCGTGTTGGACGCGTGTCCGAGACATGTTCGAGCCGTATCCGAAAATTTTTAAAAAATAAAAAATTCCAGAAATGTTTTTTGGTGTGTCCGACACGTGTCGGGATTCTTCGCCCATTTTGGAGTGTCTGTGCTTCCTAGCAGAAAACTCTCCTATGTTGTAAAGAACCTCCTTAATCTACAGAAAAGTTGAAAACCCTCCTATGAAGTTTGGCTGCCGTAAACATGAATGTAAAATCAGAACTTAGTCCTTCATGAGAGAAAGGACAAACTCTTTTCCAACAAAACAAGCAGACTTTTTGTATATAGAAAAAACATGATCTTTCAAAATCGTGTAAAATTCACCTTCCTATTAAATGGCTGTCAAGTCTCCCTTAATTTGTGATGTGAAACTATTAGAACCCAACAATGAACTTGAAAAAGTAAAATAATATAAATATATAAAATATCAATAAGGATTCAAAATCAATCAATTACAATCAATATGACACTTTTTTTTCCTGGAGTTGTTATTGGTATTTTACATATTATTTCATTATTTTTCTAAAAAATCATTACTAGGGACACAAGAGTAACTTCACATCACCAATTAATGAAGACTAACGATCGTTAGAGTTAGACGACGGTGGCATTTTGTACAATTTTGAAAGATGATGTGGGGGGGGGGGGGGGGGGGGTGGGGGGTCCCGGCTGCGAAAGGTTGATGGTGGGTGGGTGGGTGTTGTAGAGAAGTGCAATTTTGTCACTATCAAAGTCGTGGTGAACTAATGGCTATTTTTTAAATGACATCCTATAAGAGTGGGTAACTTGCCAAAAAGGGAATAGTACTATATGCTTGAATACAAAATTGAAAGTTTAGGGGGAGTTTTCTGTTAACTTGAGATATAGTCCAGTCGATTTATCTCCAATTTACCCTATTGTATATCTACCTCTCCCCTACTTTGTCATAGCAGTTATAATTTTGCCCTACGTGAGAAAGTGTCATTGATGCTTAAGTTGTGGTGACCATGTGTATAAACACCAATCTTTTTTTGAGGGAAAAAATGTTGGACACTTTTTGAGGTTTAGATGTGTTTGTGTTAGTATACAAAGTGTTCAGGATGCATCACCAACAACTCCCAGACACGTTCATGAACTGACTAATATGTGTCCAGAAGTGTCAGTGAACAGTCAGTGTTTTCAACAAGTGTCGCAGATGCATCACCTTCATAGAAGTTCAAGCTACTTAGCTCCTTGATAAGGATAGTTTTGTGTGTTACGTCCCATGCTACTTAGCCACCAAACTCCAAGCAAATAGTAAATAAACAGGGTGCAAATAAACAGGGTGCACTTGAAACATGATTAGGACACCGTGTTTTAGCATCAGCTAGGTGTCACATTGCTGAACCCTAGAAATTTAATATGCACAACTAGGTGTTTGCTTATAATTTAGTTTAACAAATCTGCAACAAGACCAAATATATTTACCTGCCGCTGCCGCTGCTCCAATCGCAACTTCTCCGAATTTGCCATTTCATACTCCCCATTTTCCAGGCACCTTTGATCAGGTCTTAGCCTTGAATCTGTAGGTGGCAATTTTTCCTATAACAAGAGGAGATTGAAGATTAGCATGTCAAAGATTTACAAGATTTAATCCCCAATCATACAAAAATTAAAAATTGAGACGACTCTTCTGTTCTATTTGCAAGAATTATTTTTAATATATTATTTAATCATTTTGGGATGACTATTATGTGTCCAATTGTACACCACTGTAAGGAAGGGATCCCTACATTAAAACACGAATTGGATAACGAACGGATTTATTTCAGTTCCAGGTATATATGTGCAGAATTAGGAACAGAAAATGAGCACCAATTTAAAGATTGCAAGAACTCATAATCAATCACCTTCAGTCCAGGAGTGAGTTCATTCAATGTGATTGCAAAACGTGTCAAGTTATATCTAGTCGGGAACTTCGGAGGCTTGCTCTTCTTCCAGAGCAAATGAGCTTCCGGTACAGACTCAAAACCTTTTCCCTTTCCAGAGCAGTCTCCTTTCACGTAATGCATGCTCTCATCCCATTTCCCGAAAAGAGTTGCAACTGTTTTTCCATTCTTATCTTGAACTATCCCTTGTACCTGCAAAATAATCAAGCTTGTGTTAAATGATATCACACCAATGGTTCCAGTCCTTGTCAACATAAACAATATCACTAAGGGATCCAGATGTGTGTGCATATATGCATAAGGGCATGTGCACGTTTTATTTTCTACTCTATTTCCCACTTTATTTTCCAATCTGGTTTCCTTTGTTTTTTTTTTTTTTTTTGATAAGTATTTTCCAATCTGGTTTCTTAACAGGTTTTTTCTGGTGCACTAAAGAGATCATTAAGCAGGTTCCACAAGCCAGACCCTGAAGCAGTCATTTTAACCATCATCATAGTTCATAATAGAAGGAAAAGAAATCAATGGAAAGGGCCTGTACTGAGTAACAAAACGCCCTTGTTTTAAATTGGTATTGAGAAGAATTATAAGCGCATTAATTGCGATGTGAGAATAAAGAAAACCTTTACCAATTCCACGCATAACAAAATAAACTGATCCATCTTTTGCATGAGTTCCAAATATTTCAAAGGGTAAAGTGCAAAAAATAAAAATAAAAAACCCCGCCATATACAAAATGTGTAAAGACCCCCGTCTCTCCTAGAACACACCTACATTTTCCAATTTGTGCAAATAAGGACAAATCTTCAATTTGGGAGTAATCAAATAATGAAAGGACTAAACTACCCACTTTATATATTTAAAAAAAAGAAACGGCCAAAATGAAAAATCGCAAAATTACCGTTAATACAAAGTCCAACACTATTTTGGAGTCTCCTTACACAGAGAGTCAGAGACGCACTCACATACACATATTTTGTGTGTAATTTTCGGCCGCAATCTTCCTCTTTCTTCCATTACACCCTTCAACGACTCCGTTCAATCTTCTCAAACCTTCTTCCATACTTCTTATTTAGAGAGAGAAAAGGAGAGAGAAAATATGTCAGCGGATGATTTAAAAAGCAGGGGACGGAAAACCAGAGAGCAGAGTTCATTTGCTTTAGATGCAATAGAGGACAGAGACTCGCAATAGACTTCGCGGTTGATTCCTTTGTTTATTGTAGCCAGCGTTGCTGTGTTTGTTATTTTTATGTATATCAACAATTGCCCCAAACCTAATTCGGGTTCAGAAGTCAAGTGTGTGGCAAGGTTTCTGGGTCAGTTTCCGTTTCAGCCCTTGAGGGATAATCCTCTGTTCAGTCCTTCTTCATCAACGTAATGATAGGATCTTTAATACCCTGTCTCAATTCTCTCCGAAAAGTAGTGATTTTGGATTGTGTGGACATGAAAAGTGGATTGTTTGTTAATGAGAGAATGTATGTTGGGTGTTCTGAAATGAAAATTGGTTTAGTCACGAGTTTGTGTGTTTCTGACTGATACATGTTTGAGGTGAGAAACAATTTTTTTGAAGGGCAAAGCTTCGGTTCATTGATTCTTAATTCCGTCTTTTAATTTATTTCCTGACTGTTTTACCATGAAATTTAGCTTGCTAATGTGTGAATAAAATTTTGGGTGTTTCTTACAGTTTCAACTCATTTCTTAATTTTTAATCTACAGTTTTCACGTGAGTGATCTAAGTGTAAAAAATTAACGGAAATTTCTACTATTTTGTATTCTTTTTTCTAAAATTGTTTTAAAGTGATCGGCAAGAAGGTGGTTTCATCCATACCGTACTTCCAATGAGAGATAACCCAGAGAGAGAAAAAAATTAGAGAGAAAGAGAGTGAAAAATTTGCATCCCATCCAAACAAGGACTAGTGTGTTAAAAATATATAGGAGACTAGAAAGGGCATTTTTGCCACTCAAAAAGGGTAATTTTGGGTTTTCAAATAAATCTGACCTCAGAAACTGCAATAGGGACAATTTGCTCCAAATTTTGAAATTATAGGGATTTATATGCACATATTCAAGCAGGGGTGTTTCTTGCAAATGTTGTATATAGCGGGGGTGTTTTTTGCACTTTATCCTATTTCCAATGTAATAATATATAATATAATATAATAATACTCTCACCAATTTTCTAATCCAAAAAGCAGTTGGACAAAGTTTCCCAACCCAATCTCTTTACTAGATTTCTGGCCAATAAAAAGACCATCATTATTTAAGATAAAAAATGGAAAATGAGAAAAACTAGCTCAGATGCAAGCAATCAAATAGAATTGTAGACACATGCCTAAAAGTAAGGCACCCCAAGCCTAGCAGCATTAGTGAAGTACCCAACTGTATCCAGAAAGCCAAGCATCATGCCAGCTAATTGAACCAAGACGCAAAACATATTCAAAATCCACTTACCATCAACGTGCTTGGTCCTCTCATGGTACAAAAAATCCTCTATCTGTTGCGGGTCGAGGGCTCCTTCTCCTTCCCCTTCTTCAAACTCAAATTCATAGTATGGCTAAAGGGTTACGGGTCACGAATTGAAGGCCCCTAAAGGCTCCATAAGGCAGCCCACACCAAATTGGACACCACACACGGTGAGGTCCATCCCATCAAAACTTTATGCTAATCAGACAATAAAAAAAAACACAAGGAATTTAATATGGAATAGACCTATAGGACAAAAATAAAGGTAAATCTCACCCTAAATCATTTTTCAATTCTTTGTCTGCTCTAAGGATGCTATTACGACAAAACGCAGCAAACACAAAAACAAATCAAGAAACACGATAGAAAAGTAATCGCACCACATACAAAAAACACAAAGATTTAGCGTGGTTCGGCAAAGCCTACATTCACGTTGGAGATATGGCGAACGTTTTCACTATGCAAAAAATAGGAGATTACAAGTTTCAGCTCCTAAACCCTAGCTCTCTCTATCATTCTCTTTCTTTGTGATTTTCAGTGTCTCAACTACTCCACTCCAAATCCTAAGCGCCCTTATATATCGGGCTACAAGATAGTACTAAACAGAGTCCAAGACCCACAAACAAAAAACTGGGAAAAGACCCAGCACCAAATTTGGGCCACAATTGGCTCGAATTACGCCACGCTCCACAATCTCCGGCTACTCCTTTCACCTCCCTCCTCCACACAAACACCAATCAAGTCCAAACAATGTTTAAACTTGGGAGTTGGAATGACCTTAGTCATCATATCTTCCGAATTCTCTGATGTCCCAATCTTCCTCTCTACAACGTCACCCTGTGCAACATGAAGTGAAACCTGACCTTAACGTGCTTGGTCCTCTCATGGAACAAAAAATCAGATGTATAGCACTTTGGTTGTCGCAAAACACAATCGAATCATCATTCTGCAAGCCCAAATCACCAACCAAGCCTTTCAACAATATAGCTTCCTTCATTGCCTCTGTAGCTACAATGTACTCAACCTCAGTAGTAGACAATGCAACTGTTGACTGCAAAGTCGCCTTCCAACTGATCACACTCCCACAAAGAGTGAAGACGGGACCCACACAAAGCTCATTCAACGGGCATCAAGTCCTTAATGGGTCGCAACGCGACCCAACACCAAATTCAGGCTAAGACATCACAGATGCAACTTGGGCAAAAATAAAGATAAATATCACACTCTAAATTACTTCTTAATTCTTTAATTGCTTTAAGGATGCAACTTTGGTAGGCCAATGCCAACCTTAACTCAAGCCCAACCCAAACTCAACCTATATTCATATTAGCAATAATAGACTTGTTGAAGTAGTAGGAACCTGAGCCTAATCCAAGTGTAAAAATATATTTTTTATACCCCTCATGTTGGACTTGGGTTGACCCCTCGACATGCCCATCCCGTCTGATTTGCACCCCTTACCTGCTCCTCTTTCATTACCATAGCTCTTTTAGTTAACTCATCAGTAATGTAGTTCATAGGATTGGCTACCTGAGTTAGGTGCAGGTGTGCATCTTGTTGTTGGTTTCCCTTGTTGCATAATCTATATGAATGGGATATGGCGAAACCATCATCATGTATTAATGTTTTTAATTTCAATCTCCAGCACCCAGTCTTTGTGGTCAACACGTTTAATTTCATCGTCTTCTAGAAGCAATGCTGAATGTAAATTCTATTAGATGGGGATAGTTCAATGCATTAGTGGATTGCAAATCCTATCAGGATTACTACAGTAAATTGAAGGCTCCAACTACTTGGAGTGAATATGCCAAAAAAAATTTAATACCAGTAAGGAAAAATGGAGCATCACCACAGCCACGTGAAGAAATATGATGAGAATTCAATTACTGTATAAGTTATTGTTATGACAAACGCAACAAACCCAAGTTGAATCAAGAATCATGACAGAAAAATAAACACACCACACAAAAAACACAGATTTGTACGTGGTTCGGCAACAGCCTACGTCCATGGTTGGAATTTGGCGAAAGTTTTCACTATGTGTAGTGTTGGAGATTACAAGATTTCAGCCCCCCACTCTGTTTCTGTATGAATTCCAGAGTCTCTCTACCTCAATCTCTTGCAAAACCTCGTTGCTCAAGCACAACAAAATCGTACTGTGTGCTTTCTCTATAACCTCATCTTTGTCCTTGATCTTTTCTGGCAATGCATCCTTCCCCTTCAACGCCTTGGATAACCCTTGTTGAACCAACAAAGCATGCATCCTAACCCGCCACAGGTTGAAATCGTTTCTGCCATTGAACTTCTCGATTTCTAGAAACTTGGACGATATCCCCGCTTCGAACCAAAAGCTCTGATACCAATTTGCTTCCTTCACTGCCTCTGTAGTAGACAATGCAATTACAGGCTGCAAAGTCGCCTTCCAACTGATCATACTCCCACAAAGAGTGAAAACATACCCTGTCAAGGACCTCCTCCTATCAAGATCTCCAGTATAATCCGAATCAACATATCCAACAACACTCCCCAACAAATTGGTATCAGAGCCAAAGGTTAAGGAGATCCAAAAAACACAAGAAATCTCAGCAAGTGTTGCAACAAGCTTCAGTTGTAGGTGGAGTCAATCGGCTTGGTTACATGGCATGGAGCTCGAGTGGTCAAGGTGGTGCCTTAGAGGTTTGATTGATCGAGCAACATATAATGTGGGCAATTGGAGTTTTGCAGGAGTATCGTCAAGATTGAAGCTGCAAAAGAATTGTCCTGATCAATGTCGTTGAAGCGATGATTAGTTGGATGGAATTTGAGCTAAGGTGGAGATTGTTGGAAATTGTGTCTCAAATTCTTATTCTAATTAGGATTCTATTTTAAAGTTGTATTCTATTAGGTAATTTCTTATTTGGCAAGTCTTGGCTTCTAAGGAATTGTAATCTTTGTCTAATAAGGAATTGGGTTTGGAACTCTATAAATAGATACATAGGCTTTGGGTTGAGACTTACGAGATTGAGAGAGATGTAGTCTCATGAGGGAGTTGATGGGTAAAGGTAGTTTGCGGGTAAGGTAGGAAAAACACCAATAACACTGGTAGCGAGGAAATAGACTCATGAAGTGGTGGTGTTGGCATTCTATTGTTGTAATATCTCTACGAATCATAGTGGAATCTCTTCTTATCCATGGAGGTAGGCCGGTTTTGGCTTGAACCATGTATATCTTGTGTTTGTGTGTGATTGCTTTGTTGGCTTTCTTTGGATCATTGTGTTTCGCACACTTCCATTGTCCCAACAGTTACTACTATCACACTCATGAATCCCAGATACCTATTAGTACTTTCAAACACAACTAAGAAATTAATAACGAGAATCCATATGAGAGGAATACCAACCACAAATTACATCTAATATAAAATCTCTCATATGAATCAACCAAAAGGTACATATTATAGACAAATACCAACAAGTGAACTCGTCGGCCAGACTAACCTAGAAATCAAGTAACATTCTATTGATTTATCAATGTATTCTAAAGTCCGAAGTATTCATTCTATGAATTCCAATATATAATTAACCCCATACAAATGAGTAACATTATAGGAAGTAAAGGGGTATAAGAGATATTATAAATTCACCCGATATTTTCTAGGTTTTATTGCTTTAAAACTACAGCAGTTCTTCTTGTTGTTTTCCTTTTGTTTCTGGCAAGCATATATGTTGAATCATCAGCAATAACAATAGGTGTCAAATGACTCAAACCCTTCCCCCCCCCCCCCCCCTCCCTCAAAAAAAAAAAATATATATATATATATATATATATATATCTTGAATGTAATTCAGAAACCTAGCTGTTGATGCTGTGTAAGGAAGTATTGTGTGTGTATGAGAGAGAGAGAGCACCTGGTGAGGATTTCGCTCTATTATAGACTGTTCCTTGAATTTCAGCTTACATGAATATTCACCGTTTCCCTCTATACGCATTGTACCATAGTGATCACAATACAGTTTTCCCAATATTAGATTGTATATGGACGTCGTTACCTGACAAAAGGAAGTCATCCTTTAGGTGGAACCTAACAAATTATGAAATTCAGACATCTGGGTCACATACCTTACTCCATTGAAAGACTTCTCCATCATCAAATTCCAAAGTCAATGTACCGACAGGGTCAAGCTGGATCGAGCGACCCCAAAATTTGCTTTTAAGATTGCTATCTCCCCAAAATTTCCATCCTGTACCATCGCAGTGACATGCTACAATCATAGGATGATGACTGACCTATTCATTATAAAAACCATAGTTATTTTTGTTCGCAGTAGAAAAAGAATTTAGCAGAGAATATCACCACCGATAAGTCAAACACACCCAAAATCATATTAATATGAAGGACACAATAACAAACAATGACCATGAAATATCTGTAGATACAAGAAATGATCAACTTGATAACACAATCTAGAAGCACAAATGGAAGGTGAAATGAATGAAAGCAACCTGAATGAGATATAGCAAAAATTGTGTGCCTGACAATTAAAGTCGAAGGTTCTTTTAAATATCTTCCTCTTCGTAAATTATCTGCAGATAACCCCTCGGCCCTTGCCTTCTCTAATTTCTTATTCTCATTCCCAAATTTAACAACCATTGATGATTGGCCCTAAACAGTGACTGAATTCAATTTTTATTATTAAAAATCAACTCTCTCTACAGAGCTACTTTACCCACACTCTGCTCCATCATCATTTTTATTCTTAAGCTTCAAGGAATGAAATTTTTAAAAGAGTTCAGCCGTTTGGATGTAAAAAATAATATATATATTTTCTAAGAGATCTTAAAAATTATTCTAGAAGCCAATTTCAAAAAATATCGACTAGAAAATATTGGAACATTCTGAAAAGTAATGAAATTCAGCGGAAAGAGAAGGGGGAGAGGAGGGGAGTATAGATCTAGACTTTAAGAGAAGGGGGGAAATTCCAGACTCCAACATGGAAAAATTTAGCAATGAAATTGAGCTAGACTCGATATGATTCATTAAATAATTTACTCCAAAGGTATGAAATGAAAACCCATCAGTGGCAGGAACTCAAATAACCCCGTACATATTAAGACCAAATTTGTCACAAAAATAAGTAAGAACTGGTCTCAGATGTCATAACATTCAGGGTCTCTCTTGAAATGTTACTTCTAACATTCAGGGTTTCTCTTGAATTGTAACTTCTAACTTGATATTGAGGCAGGCGATGAATACAAATAGAAAGGAATATGTACAAACTTCTCCATAAAAAATGAACCCCCCACCCCCCCAAAACCCGGTGGGGGGAAACAGCCTAAAAGGGGGAATTTGCACATAAACCCTAATTTAAATTTTGACCAAATTTATTTTTCTCAGAATGAATTTAATGCTCCTTCCTCATCCTTGAATTATAGGCACTAGATGGTGGTCATTTCTTAAGAATCATGAAATTTTACCATACTAAGAAACTAAGTAATATAAATTCTCCAATAATGCTCTACTCCACCTTCCTGATTTCTCACTGATGCATCAAAATTTTGTTTGACCAGATAACTAGAATTTTGGAGGATACAAATAAAAAAATCAACCCTCTTCCTGTTTCTCACTGAGTAATTTGCAAATAACCTAAGAAGCACGGACACGGATACGGGACACGGATACGACACGACACAGACACGGCGACACGGCAAATCCAAAAAAATTAGGACACGGACACGGCGAATAGTGTGTGTATATATATATATATATATATATCAGCATTAATAATTTAAAAAAAAAAAAACACTGATATGTTTAGGTTGGAATATATATATATATCACTGATATGTTAGTATATATATATATCAGCATCTTTAGGACACGGACACGGCGAATTGTGGCATCTTTAGGTTAGTATATATATATATATCAACATCTTTAGGGTAGTACAAAACAAAAAATAGAACATATCAGCATTAAAAATTTAAAAAAAAAAAAAAAAATTAACATATCAGAATTAAAAATTTTAAAAAAAAAAAAAAATTCCAGAAAAGTGTGTCCGAGCCGTGTCCGAGCTGTCTGAGCCGTGTCCGAGCCGTGTCTGAGCTGTCTGAGCCGTGTCCGTGGCGTGTCCCAGCCGTGTCCGAAAATTAAAAAAAAAAAAAAAAAATTCCAGACGTTTTTTGGCGTGTCCGACACGTGTCGGGGCGTGTCCGTGTCCGACACGTGTCGGACACGGATTCTTCGCCCATTTTGGAGTGTCAGTGCTTCCTAGCAAATAACGATATTGGCATCTCAGGTATTTAATGTAAGATCATACCTATGTGAGACATTTTATTTTTTAAGAAGACACTAGTGTAGTCTTTAATTAAGTAAAATACTATTGAGTTTGTCAGTCCAGGTTGAACAGAGGGAGGAGGATCATCACCCTTCGGGGAGGACAAGTAACAGCAATAACTAGAACTACTACTGCTACTGAGACCACTATAAAGTACTGCTGAGAGAGAGAGAGAGAGAGAGAGAGCATATATTTAAAGGAAAGTTTGTTTAATTTTGTGATTACTGAATACTATCACAAAGCACTTCAAATGAACAGAATCAGGTAATGTGAACAAATGTACAGAAATTGCTTCTGATTTAAAAATCAAACCTTCTCTGAAAAGAATCGGAGGCCTTTGTCTGGATAGTCAGCCTCATAAGTCTCACCGAGCAATGGATTAAATGGTTTGCAGTTTCTTCCTTCAGTAGAAGCATATCCAGATACAGCAAATGCAGCTACATTTAGAATCCTCATAAGGCTGTTACCCTTACAAATTTAATCAAGCAGGAGATTAGAAGCTAACAAAATGAATTGGAACTATGCAATCACACCATGATCAACTAATTTATCCAATCAAAAGAGATGTTTATGATTTGAGTAGAGTCATTCACTGTAATATAGATCTAAAAAGCCTGTTATGTTACATAAAGCATGAAACTGTATCCACTCGAACACAGAACTGCAATATTGTTTAACTACCTAGAACAAAGTTAAACTCAAGCAGCTGATATATAATACGAGAATCTGACAGAAATATGAAATCCTAACTAGTACATAATTATAACATCAAAATCAACATATCTGTGTAACCAAAGGAAAAAGAGACGACAACTATGTACTGATAGATGTTGCAAGTGAATGTCCCAAAGGCAACGTAAAAATAAATTAAAAATCACCAACACCTCCTCCACATATTCATTTTTTTTTTTTATAAGTAAACCTTCACATATCTATAACAGAAAGTACCAAACCTTTATGCAAGCCACTCAAGTTTTAATGACAAGAAGTCATGAATAACAAGCTATCCATAAAATATCAGGGAGAGCATTAACGGAGTAACAGAAATCTCTGTCCTTCTGGTAATTGAATTCCACCAACTTATAATTATTGATTCCAAATAACACATATGAAATTGTACATCATGTGGATGTTTAGGCAGACTTGCAATTAAAAGTTGTAACCGGAAAAATATGATCCTGAATGAAGGATATTGGAGTCTATACAATTCCATCTAAAGTCATATACTTCCAATTCCAACAAAAAGTCGTAAATTTATTATCTCCTGAAATCCTTAAGTAACTATAGACCACTTTGATATTCAATAATTACATTGACAAGGCATTTTGACCGTCACAATATCATTTCCATCAAATCCCAGAAGGACCAGTCCAGGTTAAAAATATTTTTCAAATGTAATGGAGAATTAACCATATTTGTGGATCAAATAACAAAGTAGACATATTCCCATACCCTAATAGCTTAACATAATGCATGTTATACCGAAACAGAAGCTACTTTTGAATAATTGCCTGATGTGAGATGCCAAAGGATGAAATGACAGTCAAGCCATTCTTAATGATATCTTTGATGAACTCACAAAGGCTGATGGCAAGTACTTATCAAAATTTTGACATATTAAAGGGATGTTTAATAGATATTTTGTGTTCTACAAAGCTTTCTATAGCATACATCCTGGCATAGTGTTACAGCAGGAGGATCCCATCAAGTAAGAACCATCATGGAAAATGTTAAAATGTAGAGAATTGCCCTCTTATTAAATGGGATCATTGGCTAAAGCCAAGCCGAAACTTCACTCCCTAAATTGTTTTCTGTTTTTGCACTTATTTCACAATTCCTAGAGTTGTAACTGTAACATGGAGAAAAAACCAAAATCACTAATGATTGATTAATAAATGAATAAATCAAAAACGAAAAACCCAATGGTTCATTGTTCATCCTAAGGAAAACAAGGTGGAGCGATTCAATTCCTACAGCATGTTAAAACAAAATGTCCACATAAAAGTGTGCTATGAACTATGAGTTGTCTTACTAAGGAAGGTCGATAGACTCGATACCAAAAGTGAAGAGTTGAGAATGCTGACGGAGCTGCGTCGACAACCACCCGAAGATTTCATCAAGCTCAATCACAATTTAAGTAAAGGTAAGTGAGAGCTTGAGCGGACTTGGGAATCTGGGTTGAAAAACTCATTAGATAGTTAGACTACCCAACATCTCTGGATCAAATGATGTAGACTTGCATCAATCACTGGAAAAGGGGCAACAATTGATATCACAACTGATTGACCCTTCGATTGGTGGTCATTTGAGAGAGAGATTGAGAGCTTTGATTTACAATCACTCAGGGTTCTCACAAAACACAATTAATATATTAGTGACTGAAATCATCAAGGGATGGAGCCACTTTGGAGATCATTGATTCTTTCAAACATGCGTTGATCAAATTCAAAAGTACAAGTGAAAAGGAACAAACAAACGTGAAGAGAAGAGTAGACTAGATTGGAAGAAGGATTCATTGATCAACAGCAAAGGTATTCATAGCAACTAGCATAAGTCTGGATCAGAGGTAACTGGGTGATGATTCTAGGACGTTATTTGAGACCTAGGTTGTAAACTTTTCTTCCATAGTGGAACAATCGTGCCTGGACAAAAAGTCATGCCGCTTTTCCTTTTGCATTTTACCACATAAAAGCTGTTGTGTGTCCTCCTCAATTTATCTCTTACTTTATTTTTTTACTTGATTATTGGTTGACTCTAACAATTGATGAATAATATATGAGAAAACATTGGTTGCTAATTTCTACAAGACAATTTGTGTATATAAAACACCGTCTAGGTGTTACATAATTATATAACTCACAATATATGTACTTAACTCTGAATAATATCAGAGCATTGGATAATGGTCATATCCTTGTCACAAACACCTCATTAGTTCATGCCAGAAAGAATTCACTTAAAGTACATGAAATTTTCATCTCTGTGACTTCAGAAACTAAAAAAAGAAGGGAAAAAAAAAAAAACTCTAGTAGTAAAGTATGATTCAGATTTTTTGGATGAACTTTACAAGAATACTTAAGAAACACAAATGTCTTTCCTTAGGATAGGCAAGCTTGGTTGGGGAGAGAAGAGGATGTAGAGGCTCTGAAGGGTGCTTAAATCCATGTTACGTTACCTCAACCTACCTGAGCAAGAAATCTAGCATCTTCAACTGAAAAGACATCAGTATCAGAAGTACCAGCCCATCTGATGATCATATTTGAAGTCCAAAAAAGGACAAAGAAACCAAGCATAAACTAAGATTACAGTCTGAATGCAATACCCTAAGAGAACTGGTAATACATTGTATGGAGAATATACAAGTGTGCATGAAATTATAAACAAAGTTATGGAGACATATATAGCAAGTAATGCAACAACAATCCTAAATGCAAAAAGAAATATTTTCATGTTTTGAATAGGAACTCACCCTTTTTCCCCATGCATATGCCCGGTCAATAAGATATGAACATTCCAAATCTTCATAACATTTTTGCAGAGAAGAGAGAGGTTCATTAAAGTAGACAGGGAGACAAACTTTTGTGAGGTCCTTCCCAATATTATCTTTAATCATTGACCAGAGACTTACTCCCTTCTCTTTTTCAACAGGGTCTGGCAATTTCTTACGACGTTTAAGATGAGGGAAGTTGGTTCCAGCAGATCTAACGGAAGGGTCAATACCATCTTCAGGTTCAAAATCAAAGAGTTCTTCATCATCAGAAGAGAAAGATGATGTCCGAAAGTCAGACTCACTGCTTTTGAAGGAACATGATGAAAGAAAATCCCGAGTATCAAAGAAAGTATTGTAATCATCATCCGTTTCTTCCTCTGCAGCATCCACTCTTTCATTGTCATCTTCAGATTCAGTTCCACTTCCATCTGGGAAAAAATAAATCAATGAAGGATTAATAATACATAAAGAAAACACAGTAGACAAGCAGAAGGTACCGACGAAATAAACACAAACAAAAGAAAAGACGAGCACATGCCCATGATAATGCATGATTTTCAGTTTATGATCCTGATAAAGTATGTGAATTATTGTGCACAAAGTAAATAAGAAAATTTATGCATTCGAAAACTTTGGAATGACCTATGAGATCAATGGCCATATCATATAGCACTTTTGACATTATTTAGTAGTCCAATTCAAAAGTTCGATCATGCATTTTTTGTAGCACCGGAAAGAAAAAGAACAAATATCCATCCACGTATTTGGTTCACAATAAAAACATGCCAAACTCCAAAGTTGGCCAAGTTATTCCCAGCCAAAAGAAGTTCTCTGAATAAAGGATGACCAAATTTGATTCCTGACCATCAAATTTTGGATCCAACACCACCATTTCTATTTCCAGAATGAATCAATGAAAGGACAGTAGGTAGGGACGTGGCACCAATGGAGAAGAGAATACTAGACTCTGGACCAGCTGAATTGTGAGTCTACCGCTAAACCTACAAGTTTGTCAATGAAACTTTAATCTTTATAGAAACCTTACCAGAGTCTTCAGTATTGTTTGAAGGCATGAAAACCATAATGGAAACTTGGTTGCACTCCCAATTCAGATACACCCTGAAGAGCGAGATAGTATACAACATAAGCAGATTCGTGGCCTCTTAAGTATTTATATATGCATTGGACATGCTACATAAAACACCAGAAAGTTTTGCTAACCACTGTGTCGTACCACTATACTGTTGAAATTCAACTAGAACTGCCCCCCCCCCCCCAATGAATTTCAACTTGATTGATGCCTGTATAATGCAAGGACTGTTTTACATGGACTCTAATTACTGTGTGATGTAGCATGTATGATATGGCACCTGTACATGATTATCATATATATGTTCAACATCCCAGTCAGACATGCATGGTGCACCCACAACTGAGTCCACCTAGTTCGGATTTTCTATGTAATTATTCAGCTTCCTTATTATGTTCAATTTTACAAGCTGCCTGCCTCAAATTGAGTCAAATTGCTGTTTTTGAATACTCTATATTACATAAAAGCATTATAATTTAAAACAATTTGGAGATGTAGCTATACTAATGTCCTTGTGGATTTTATAAATCCGACACCCAGAGACATCAACACCTCATGCATGTATCAAGACCATGTGATGTAGCCAAGGACATATTCAGAAATAGATTTATATATATATATATATATATATATATATATATAATATAGAGAAAAAAATAAGCTTTGTATACTCGGATGTAGATGTATAAAGATATTGAAAAAAATAAGCTTGCAATACCTCATATAACCAATATTAAAAGGAATGACTTATCTGTCACATGCACGACTAACAGCATATTGCAATCCTAGGGTTGATGATGCTCCTAGAATGCTTCATAATTTCATTCAAATGAAATCTAGAATTAACACTTAATTAATCATGCAATCGTTGCAAGTGTCTATGTACCACTAAATGATGAAAACACAATCACAGAAAGATATGCCAAACAGCTTAGTAACATACGTATGTAAAACATAGGAAAAATCCATCATAAAAATAAGAAATTCAGATTTCAGAATTCAATGGAAAAGAAGAAATAAGCAAAAATTGGAAGAGGAAAAGCTATGAAAATGTACAAATAAAGATAATCTAACCAAGTTAGGGTAGATTTGAACAACCCAGTAATAAGTCGAGCAAAGAAGACTTTTGAGCTTTTCAACGGCCAGAAATCTAAAGAGTAGCATGGTCATGGTGATAAGCACAAAAGATCCTAGCTGTGAAAACCACATCTTATTTTATATTTGATATTATAGTATACCAGTGCACCCAATAAATATTTAATATAATACAGCCAATAGCCATATCACTTAAGTTGTCCTGTGGCTAGCATGTAAGAGCTTAACTAGAGGACACTCAATAATGTAAGAATATAACACAGCAAAATAAACTTAACATCCTAACATAGCAAAAATGAAGCCTATTACTAATGTTCAAATTAGAAGTGGTAATTAAAAAAACAAAAAAAACTTTAATGATCTGAAGTTACACCCTGATGACCAATAAAAAAAGACCACATGAATCAGGTAAACCCTAATCAAATCAATAACAAAGCCTGGGAAGTTTGCAAAACATCTCATCAGCCTTTTGAAAATCCAGAACTAGAAGCATCAGCCTTTTTCTAATTAGTTGAACTAAAACAAATCTAATATTCAGGAAAAAAGAACAAACTCTAATAATTAATTTGATTCTAAAGAACAGATCAGGAAGAAAAACGAATAAAACAGATTCATTTATTATGGTTCTTTTTATTCCTTCAGAATTTATAAAAAGCATACTGATTCAAAGCTGACATTTAAATATAAGCATCTGGCGCTCTGGGCAAAGTTGTATTACTAGAAAATCATATAGCACAATAACCACTAATTGCCAGTTCTAAATTAAAGAATAGTTTGCATAACATACCGCTGAATTTGTCTAGCCTTGATCTAGAGGAAGACCCATGCTCCTTCCATTGTCTTTGGCTCTCATCAACAACTGTATTCTCCAAATCAACCTTTTCTGTCTACATACAAAGAACAAAATACAGTTGTTGAATAGAACTTGAAAAGAAAATCAGACAATAATTACCTTGTACAGAAAGTCAAACCCCCCAGTGTATTTATGGACTTATAAACGCAATAATGACCTAGACATGGAATACACACACGAAGGTTGTAGTTACCCAATATACGTGCCCAACGTGGTTCTTGCCACGTCACCAATAATGGCCCAGTTAGCTAAAGCCTAAAGGTCAAGAGGTCAATGCGCAAGAAACGTGGCACATGCCACGTCATCAACTCAAATAGAAGACCGAAGACTTGAAGACCTAAGTTGGGAGCAAGACTCAGTGATTTCTGGGATGCGATGAGGTACTTGGTTTGGGGGCTAAAGTCCTGGGCTCGTTGAGCCGACCCTCGACCTGACTTGTAGAGAGAGGAGGACCATTTGACTCCTGTCTACCTATCCTCAACTTACCTGGCCATATATATTAATATTATTTATCTAGTTAAATAATTATTCTCATTACACTTGCAATTCTGCACCCTTGTCTCCTATTACTTTGTATATATTTTCTGTTTTCATTATTATATTAAACTAATATATTATTGGCCTCATAATGACATTATCTACCTTCACCTTTGGCCTATAAAAAGGGCACTTTACCAAAGCCAAATGAGGAGGAGGAAGATCAGATTCACTACCCTCTCTTCCATGCTTTCACACTGCCATCTTATCTTTCTCTCTCTCAAGTTTGCCTGGATTTTCACCTCATCCAGTCCACTCTGGAACTCTACTGTGTTATAGGTAATGCCTAATTATTACTATACAAAACCCACATAAACAAAGGTAAAAGGGAAAGGATTAGAGGGTAAAAACATACAACTATCTTATCGGGGAAAAAAAAAGGAGGACAATTGGGCATTTTTAGTTATTGAGTTCTACATTCTTCAGGAATGTAATGTGATGGATTAGACTGCTTATAAGATTAGACAAGAATCAGAAATGTATCTTCAAGTCTATATTTAACCAAGATTAGTGCACTTGCTACTCCAGTAGCAAAAACTGTAAGAAAGAAAACATATATATATATATATTGTGACAGGGCCCCAAAGGAACAAGATGGCAAATTTTTAATTGCATGTGATAATTACCAATGCTAATCCATATAAACAAAGTTTGACATATTAGTTTTTTAAAACGAAAAGATTTGTAAACCATAATATCCATACATCTGATTCAAATATCTTTCTAAGGGCCCCTGATGTGATAAAAAAATAAAAATAAAAATAAAAATAAAAAGAGCTTTTATCAGTAGAACTGCCTTAAACTTTCTGTCAATAAAAAGCATCTTAGTTGTTTGGAATGTATTTTATTAAGTCCTTTCACAATTAGAGCCCTTTTTAATTTGTTTGGTAACAATATTATTTAAAGCACTTCTATTAATAATTTTACAATAACGCCTTTTAATTGAGTGTTCTTATATATAGTAATAGGAATTTATAAGGGATAAAATTGTCTTTATAAAAAAAAAGGAGTAAAAATGTAGAAGGAAAAATAGTTACCTAAAATATTAAACCTCTACTCAGAGTGTAGGTTTAAAAGGCAGAAATTTTAGCTTCATTCAAAAGCTATAGTGGCCCAAAATCTATACCATTCAGAAGTGCTATGTTTACCAACACATTTTCAAAGAAGTGAATACCAAAGACAATAAAAATAAGAGAAACATAGATTATAGTGTCAAGGTCTAATTTTCCGATAACACCGTTTCAGTTTCCGTAACTTACACGTCCTCAGCTGAAAAATCTGATAATGTCAATGAGGACAATCCTACAATATTAAAAGTCCCAGAAGTAAAATCTAAGCCCACATTCTACATTCTACATTCTCTTATGGAAAGGAATTAAGCCTACATAACCAGTCAAAATTAGAAACAATAAGTTCTTCCGTGCAGCCAGCCCAGCTTAATGAGATAAATAACTTCTCTAGTCCTTTGGGCCTGCTTTGCAAGGTAATTTCTATATTGGCTTAAATGTTCAATGTTAGGGGCACTTTCCTTGTGAAATTAAAACGCATCATGGACAACAATGCATTCTTGAAAGAATAAAAAATATTTTTTTTGTTAATGGGGCCAAAAAGGAAGTCATTAGTCAATGCAGGTCACGCCAATACAAAGTGCTGGTAAGGGTAGTTAGGAGCATATCCAGAATTCATTATTATTCATATAAAGTGGCTACCCTCAAAGTTGAACTCACATTCTCATGCTTTACACCAAGTAATATTAGTGGGGCTGAGACTTCATTCTAGTGGGCCAAAAGCTCTTCTTAAGTTGAGGCTTACCAAAAGATTAATACAAATTGGGGATTCCACTACCCAGAATGCAATTCTAGTGGGGCCAAGAATGCATCATGGAAAGTGAAACCCCTAATATGTATAGAATTTAGACAAATTTGGACCGTTTGAATTTTCTTTACTCTTTGTCTGAAAAATGACTTTTGAATTGTATTCCATGTGAGGAGGATACTCCAAAATAGAAAGGGAAAAGGAAAGAAAGTAAGGTCGATTTTCCATCCAACTCTCAGGAGGCCACCAACATTGCCAACACACTGGCACTGCAACATATTCCACCAACCCTTCCATTGCTGCCAAGACACCCCCGTGTTACTATGCAGTCACCAAAGCTGCAGCACTATGATTTCCACTGCATTTGTCATTGCTGCTGCAAGCCTGCAACACAACCCATGCTACCATAGCTGCTATTCCATAATCTTCAAGTTCTTGATTTGGATAGATGTACAGAAATTCACCTTGAAAGATTGCTGAAATAAAAATAGATCATCAAAAGCCACCTCCACTGTATTTATATAAACTGCTGGTGCTGTCTAAACAACTTCCACTGTTAGTCTGAATAGATGCATAACCAATAGATGTATTCGATGTTGCCATTTGGGATAATATCTTGATAGCAAATATGACATGATTATGTTAAATTTCTTAGTGTTTACTGGAATTGCATTTTAGGAGTTGTTTTACTAAACTGAAAAGAGATTTGATATTATGTCCATCTTAAATATCTTAATGGTACCGAAAGCACATGTTACAAATGACACAACTGAAGAGATTTACTATTTTGACCATCTTAGTAAATAATTTAGAGGCAAAGGGATCACACAAGTAGCATATAATTAGTACCCAATCTGAATAATCTATTATCTGAATATTTTGATATACTATCTTGTTAGAATTACGTTAAGAAAAGCTAAAATCACAATCAACCTGTCTCTTAATCATTGAGAGAAATTAATCAGAAGTGCTGTTGGTAGTGGCAACAATACTGATGGCTTGGTTGTTGTCAATTTATCAACGGTACAAGTATTTGTGATGGTGACCATGTGTTCATGGTGATAGTGGTAGGCTGCAGTTCTGGCAGTAGCATTGGTAAGCAGGGGAATGTGTGGTAGTAGTGCTGATTAATTTCTCTCAAATGATTAAAGATACAGGTTGATTTTGAATTGTGATTTTAGCTTTTCTTAACGTAATTCTGACAAGATAGTATATCAAAATAATTCAAATAATATATTCACATGAAGTACTAATTAAATGCTACTTGTGTCATCCCTTTGCCACTAAATAATTCACTAAGATGGTCAAAATATCAAATCTCTTCAGTTTAGTCATCTGTAACAAGTACTTTTAGTGTCACTAAGATATTCAAGATGGACATAATATCAAATCTCTTTTCAATTTAGTAAAACAACTCCTAAAATGTAATTTCAGTAACACTAAGAAATTTAAAAGAACCATGTCATATCTGCTATCAAAATATTATCCCAAATGGCAACATCAAATTCAGCTATTTATTATGCAGCTACATGGATTCAGACCAACAGTAGAAGCTGTTTAGACTGCAGAAGCAGTTTATGTAAATCCAGTAGAGGTGGCTTTAGATGATCTAATTTTTTTCAGTAATCTTTCAAGGTAAATTTCTGTACATCTGTCTGAATCAAGAACTTAAAGATTATGGAACAGGTTTTATTTTTTGTTTCTTTTCTTTATTTTCTTATTTTTTGGTGGGGCGGTGCAACTTCAATGCTTGCAGCTACTGCAGCAGCAGTGACAATTTCAGTTGTTGTTCTAGCAGCAACAGCTTCTTTTGTAGATATGTCCTGTTTTGTATACATTTGAAAAGTTTTTATCCCATCTGTTTTTTTGGTGTGCGTGTGTTGGGGGGGGGTTAAGTATTATTTATTTATTTTAATTATCCCGTGTTTAGTACAAGGGAACTCATAAGATTTTTGTTCTTTGAGATAAGTTACAAGAAGCCTGGAGCATGCCCCATGTATATGTAGGTATTTTCTGATTTTCGATACTAAGCTTACTTAGTGGGGAAGGAGGGGGCAACTCCAATTTGCTGTAACAGCAGCAGCTTCTATATGTAGATATTTCCCGCTTTCCATATTTCACACTATTGTCCTGTGTTGTTCGTATAGAGTGCCAATATTTGTTCTTTGGTTAAGTTGGTATGCCCTCTTAACTGGCCTGGAGTGTACCCCATGTATTTGTACATATTTTTCAATTTTCCAATACTACGCTTGCTTACCGAAAAGTAAAAGAGAACTGTCAAGGGCATCTAGGCAGGCTCTTACATACATAAACATAGACCAACACCAAGGCAATGGTGACCTCCGGATTCCTTGGTCATTGCCCTACTGCAACTCCCCCTGATATTAGTGTCTCAGCTTCCACCTAACCCAGTCCACCTGAAACCTCTCCATCTTTATGTGTAATATGCCCATCATTTGTTCACCCACGAACCCACATCTCACACTATTGTCTTGTGTTGTTGGTATAGAGTGCAAATATTTGTTCTTTGGTTAAGTTGGTATGCCCTCTTAACTAGCCTGGATTGTACCCCTTGTATTTGTACTTATTTTTCAATTTTCCAATACTACGCTTGCTTACCGAAAAGTAAAAGAGACCTGTCAAGAGCATCTAGGCAGGCTCTTACATACATAAACATAGACAAACACCAATGGCAATGGTGACCTCCGGATTCCTCGGTCATTGCACTACTGCAACTCCCTCTGATAAGAGTGTCTCAGCTTCCACCTAACCCAGTCCACCTGAAACCTCTATCCATCTTTATGTGTAATATGCCCATCATTTGTTCACCCACGAACCCACATGTAAGGATCAATAAAAGAATTAACATCTTATATAAATTTCCTTCTTCGCCAAATTTCTCTAAATAGAAATTGGGGCAACACATGAAAGAGTATTGACTCCAAAGGAGATGAGAATTATAAATTTCTCACCATTCGCTATACCAAACACCCAACAGAAATACCAGTTTGAGCTGCAACGTGCTTAAAATGTGTACATACTCCATAGAAGCAAACACATCTGGAAACACACTACAATATACACCAAGTATAGAAAAGCATATTTCGAGCAGAATGAAGTTAAATTCAAGTTTTGGGTAAGAGCAGGCACATTTAAACATATAGAAAGAGCGAAATTCCAAATTCAAACACGATCTACCATCATACAGATCTCATCTTCTAGGAGTACAATTTAGAGAACTCTTCTAACACTTGGTATAAGTTCTTCGAGTATTTTTTTGTCCTTTTTGAAATACAAATGCTCACAACCTTGCATTAACATTATTCCAAAAGAATAATAATGAGGATATCTGATGAACTAGAAAAAGTGCTAGGCCTTCAAGTCCAAACTAAGACCCTAAGAGGTAAACTAAAGGATGCCAATTTGCCCTTCTAGATAACAGGAGCACAATATAAAGTATAAACAAGCAAGGAGAAGACTATTTCAAAAAAATACACGAATTCCATGAAGGAAGAAAGTATATCGCATCATCCTACAATATAGTGACTTAACCAATGTTCTGTAGAAACAGAACAAACTAGCACCCAAGAACACTCCATAGAGAATACATACATCAGTTGACACACATTTCGCTTCACTAAATTAATTATCAGCACACTAGTCAATTTGAGTGAGTGTGTGTGTTTTGGGGGGGTGGGGAATTGGAAAGCAACTGAAGGATATTTCCAAATTCGATTAGCATAAAATTCTTTTACTAATCGTTAAATGTACCTCTAATTGCCGCAGTGTGTCAAGGAGGAGCCAATGCTTCTGCTTAAGCAACATAAGCTGATTCTGCAATGCTGCAAACTCACTCCTCATGATCTGCTCACTGTCCTGGATGGCAGTCTCACTCACACCCTCTTCCTGTAACCGCTGCTTCAGCCTTTCTGTTGACACGGCAACTTCCAGAGGAGCCATCAGTTCACTGTTGGACATTCTGGGGAACATGTCCTTCACAGCCTGCAATGCATCCATCCAAGCCAGTCGATCTTCTCGTGTATCTGCCTTTAAATGCAGCCTCTTAGTACCCGTAAAAATTGAAAACCTCTTGTCATCTGATCTGCTCTCACGGATTGATGAAACCTACAAATTACTATTCAGATTGTTTTAAAAAATAAATAAACAACTGACAAAGTAATTCCAAAATACATGCATAAACCTTGCAAGGAATCAAAATGAAATATGCAAATAAGGAACGAATTAACTAAAACAAGAACTAGAAGGATATGAAGGGGTTTTCTTTATATATGGCCGGGTGATTAAACAAGGTCTACAATGCAACAAAGCTGATAAAAATTATGTAAAGACCTCGTGATGAATCAGTAAATGATTCACAAAATTGCAGACAGAAAACAAATTCAATTATGATTAGCCAGAAAATTATTTGTTTGAATTAAAATGAACTTGAAGATGTGCATCTAATAGAAATTGCCTCACTGTATTTGAAATGGATAAAGAGCTTAAAATGAAAATTTATCCTTTTATCTATAGATATGTAGAGAAATGCAATCGAAGCAGGAATGTTCCCTAATGATATATATATCTAGAGAATTTGTAATGAATAACAAAATATTAGACATGCTAGCAAAGAATCTGAATTAAATTATAAACACACAAATGTTAATTTGCAGAGAGGGAATTTCAATGTGAACCTTGAGATGGACTTCACCAACAGGATTGCGCCGAAACTGAGAGGTACCATTCCTATGGCGAGAGAGTCGCCGGAGCGACTCTTCTCCGATAACTTTCGATCCTTTCTCGGTCACTTGATTGACCACAATCTTATCAGGTCCATGGATCTTGTAATACGACAGAACACCATCTTGCAACACAAACCATCTCGGTCTCCATCCTTTGCCGTAATTCACCCACTTATACAGAACACCTGATATTCCATTACCTACTATATCGTTGATCTTCACTTCCCGAATATCACCGGCGAAGAATTGTGCCGCCGTCAAGTCACGCTTCGACGGTATCCGAGACAGAGACTCCGCCAGCGACGGCGCGACGGCCCTATGGCTCAGCCGGCCATAGTCGCTGTGATTGTGGATTTGTTCGCCGGATTGCTTCGCCGATTCGGATCTGACTCCAACGCCGGCAGGGATCGTAGAAGGCATAGAAGGTAGCTCTTGCAGATTCGTGCCGTTCCGGTCGTGAATCGTAGAGACGCAACAAAATGGATGCATAATCATCCGGTCAGATCACAGATCGAAGGATGGGGAATTGGTGGTGGTTCTCCGAAATAATCGCCGGAGAATTTTCATTCATTCTAGAGAGAGAAAGAGAGGAAGTGTAGACAGAGAGATAGATAAAACGGAAGAGTATAGAGAAAGAAAGAGGCGGCGAGCTCTGCGTGTATATAGGAATGAACGGTTATGTTGTTACGATTATACAATGACAAATATATACATATAGAGAGAGAAAGTAGCGGGCGAGAAGTTTGATTGAACACGGAATCGGTCGTTTCGCCGGAGGGCAAAGATAGCCGGCGAGGTGTGATGACGTGGCGATGAGTACAGACGGAACAAAACTAATATGAATGAAATGCAGTGAGGTTTAAATACGAGACAGTTGGTTCCTTAATGCAACTCTCTCTCTCTCTAGAGTTTCTCTCTCTAGAGTATTTGTTTGTGTGTGACGGATGTAGGATGATAAAGTAGAGGACGCCGCCGGCTCAGTGGGAGGGTGACACGTGGATGGGTTACGGGTAATTTACATTTTTTTTTACTGTTTAACTTTCTAGTTTCTACATTTCCTTGGTTCTTCTTGTTGTACTTTACTTAAAACTGAAAATTTTGGAGTTGCATAAAGTGAAGAATCAAAAGGGAATATAATTAGGATTTTGATTATTTTAGATTTGATATGAAAATATAATCTACCAATAGAATGAAAAAGTAGAGACATTGTTTGCAATAGAATAAAATAAAATAAAATAAAATTTCAATTAATGTTCAATGTATAAAAACAAAAAAATGCTGATGATAGAAGTGATCAACACAATATTTTTATATGAGACATCACTAGAGAAAAGATATAGTATTTTTTTTATATGAGAAATCTCTAATTGAGGGGTAGTATTGCACTTTAAAATTTTCATAATAGTCTTTCTTATCTCTCTCTCGTCTATATTGAGAGAACGAAAAGTTACGAAGTTCATTCATCCTTTTTTATTTTCCCGCCTTGTATCCTCCTTACCAAATTAAATAAATTTAGGACATGCTTGGTTTATAACTCTGGAAATAATTCTTAAGAATTTAAAGAATAAAAAACAGTTTTCAGATAACAATAAAAGACAATTATCTAAAAACTGACCTTTTTATAACCGGTTTTTAGAAAGTTGAATCAAGCACAAATTTTTATGCAGTTTTCTATTTTTAGTTTTTTTAAAACACTATTTTTAGAATTACAAACCAAACATGCCCTTATTTTTTTCCCATCCTATATTCCTTTCTCCTCTCTTCACTCTTTTTAACCAAACAAGAGAAAATTAATATCACTTTTTCTATTAATTTATAATTTTTTTTAAGATCAATAAGTCCAACTTTTAAAAATTATTTTTATTTAAGTTCTAAATCACTGAATTTTTCATTTACACCCTTAGGTCCCTTAGTAAATAGAAGTAAAATTTTGATATATAATTTATTTTAAAAAAATATAATTCCTTTAAGCTATAGTTGATTAATGAATAATGAATATGGCATTATAAGTTTAAATAATAATTAAATTTAAAAAATATGATTTAGAATGAACAATGAATCTAATACCAAAACATTAAATATTTCATAAGAAAAGTCAATAACACGTTTTTTTTATATTTAAAAATTATATTTAATTTAATAAAGGTATCAATGAAGGTTCGAACCTAAATTTTATATCTAACTAGTAAGGGTATAAATGGAAATTAAAATAATTTAGAACTAAAATGGAACAAAATTGTAGAAGTAGGGTTGGTGAAAAATCACTGAATTATTTTTGTACGAACTGAGGAGTCAAATTTATGTCATACACTCTCGCTCGACTTTTGTTTTTATACTAAGCAATAATTTTTATACCATCAAACTCTGTACCAAGTAGTAAATGTTTATAAAATTTCGTCGAAACTGCTTGGCGTGGTTTGGAAGAAAAGTCAAACCAAGGACATGCGCGTAAAAATGCTTAGAATAAATTGTCAAACTTAGAGTAAGAAATGCAGAGTAAAGCTGTCTAAATAATGATGATAAGAACAATGAGGAGACGAAATCTATATTATTTTGTCCAAACGAGGGCTCATGGAACTTTCCTCGTTATTGTCCCATACGTGTGGGATGGGAAAAATTTTGTGCTGTTATACGGTATAACAGACGTAACAAATTATGAAATATTTTAAAAAGTTGTTAGTCGATAAAAGAAAAAAAATAAAAAATTACAAGAGTTATTTTGAAAATGTAAATGTTAATAGGTAAAATATAAGAATATGTTTGGTTTGTAATTTTGAAAATAATTTTTTATTATTATCTTTAAAGAATTAAAAATCAAAAAAATGTAAAAAAACTCAATTTGGTTCAATTTTTATAAAAACTCAATTATAAAATATGTTTTTTTTGAATTTTTAATGATTATTTTTAGAGTAACAAATCAAGTAAGACCTAAGTTTTGCTATAAGAATGGATTGTGAAAGAATAAGGGGTATGCCTTCTGTTTTTATCAGGTACTCTAGCAATGAAAAGTGAAAATAATGAGTTTGGTAACAATGATTTTGTTTTATAGTGTTGAAACGTGTCGTGAGTAATGGTTAAAAATCGAAACACGAATTTAATATTTTTATATGTTTCGTAACGTTGTGCACTATAAATAAATTTTAAAAAAAATAATAATAAAAACCTCTTAAATAATATTTTTTAACTAACCATTATATTTTTAAAACTTGTAATATTTTTTTTTTTAAACATTTGTTTCATATTTTTGCTTTGAAAAATCTTTCAACAAATATATATTACTAAATATATTTTTAATTACTATTCAAAACATTCTGTAACAAAATACTGAATGCCAAAAACAAAATCCGTGCCGAACAGAACTAAATGGGCGAATAAAGAACTTGAATGTGGCGATATACTTAATTAGGTGGGATTGATTCGTGGATGCGTGTTGGGACAACTAATTTTGCCTAAACAATTATGAAAGACCCAAAAAAGTTAGGGAGAGTCTTGGGAAGATCCGTCCAAATGGAGATTTGGACCAAGCACCATGGGTTGTTGAATTCTCATCGATATCGTGGAGAAGCACCATGGGGTTGTTGAATTACTCATTGATATCGTGGGGAACACTAGTTGTTGAGAAGAAAGATGATAATGTCAATGATACATGCTTGAGAGGCTAGTTATTCGAGTATGGTAATGTAGTGGCAAACACTATTCTCAAACCCATTTTAGCATCCTTTAATGCCATACTAAAAGGAAAATGTTTTTTTTAATCCTACGGGTTAAAACCGATCAATCAACAGTCAAGAAATTAGGTCCGCGGGTTTTCATCCCGCTAATGGGACTGATTTGGTAATTTTTAAATGAATTTGTGACGAATATAGTAAAATAATTAAAATTTTAAAATGAATTTGGGACGTTGGTAGATTTAGTGATAACCTCGTTCCGCCCCCACGTCGAATATATATGTATCTTTAAAAATTTTATATATATATATATATATATATATATATATATATATAATATTTTTAAGATTTCTCACCTCGCAGTCTCGATTATATATGTACCTTTAAAAATTTTATATATATATATAATATTTAAGATTTTTGTTACTGTACTGGAAGTGTTAGTTAATATATTAATATTCACTAATTTAAATGCTAGGCCAGTTTATTTATCAACACAATTTGAGTGCACTGGACAATTTTTTTTTTTTACTAAATAATAAAATTGACACAACCTGTCCCGCCCTGCAATTAAACGGAGTCTGTCAGGGCGAAGTCGTTACTTTGTCTGTCAAAGCAGGGGTGGATATGGTATACCAATTACAAACTCGATCGGGAGTGGGGACGGAGTGGAAGGAGTTGGTATAACGAATTTTCTAATGGGGCGGAATAGGGTTTAGCCAACTCCGCCCCATTGCCATCCCTAGTTTTTGGGGACATGATTTTTTATAATCCCTAGTTCAGAGCCTTTCAATTTATTGTGGTCACCGTCGAGGATGGCACCATCAGCCCATCCTCAGCGACGATCAACTTTCAAACTTATGCTTCCGCATCCCAACCTTCAATCTTAAGTTCATAATAAATAAATAAAAACATTATTTGGCCACCTAATCAGCAATTGCACGATAATAACGCCATAATTCTGCATCGTCAGCGCTTCACCTTAGACACGGTCAACGGCGATGCTAGCATTAGTGCCACGTCACCTGTTGTGTCAGGTGCTATGTCCGACACAGCCAGCAACAGTGCCAGCCATATTGCCCCATCACCTGCCACATCAACTGTTAACCTTGCCTCCATATGCATCATGGGTGAAAATCCATCTCCATCAAATTTCCGTTATGTTGTTTTTATGATTTTGCCTTCAATCTCAAGTTAAGTTCATACTCACCTGAAGTTTGAGCCGACTATTAGATTGCAAATTTACTTTTTTACCTATCATATAGTTTTCAACATATTACTTCCCATCTATGATTACACATACCATATTAGTATCTATAAATTTTTTTGTTTATCACTCACTTACTCTCAAACCTTCTTACATATAGAGGGACCTTTATGTACTCTCTATTATCACATCAATGCAATATAATACAATTTCTCTCGGGTATGAAATAATTATTTCATAAGTTTAATAGTGAAATGAATTTTTAATTTTTTTATATAAAATAAAAGAATAGTTAAACTGAATATTCTATTCGATTTTGCGTACCAAAATACGGTTAACGTATCATCTGAGTACAGATTTTAAGAATAGTGGCATTCGAACTACTCCATCTGTTCCACTTTAATTGTCGTTTACGAGAAATGTGAGTCATGCTTTCCGAAAGCGACAATTAAAGTGGGACGGAAGTAGTAACATTTTTTTGAGAATTGAGATAAGAGGTGGCACACAAAGGCACCACCACATGGCATGCCAGAGCTATCATAAATAATTGTTTTAAGGTAAATGAGACGAACTGGTTTGCAGTTCCAATCTATCTTTATTTTCAATTAGGTCGATAAATTAATCGACTTTTAATAAATAAATAAGTAAATAAAGAGAGACTATATTGGATGGGAAAAGAAGGAAAAAATAATGATATACATTTATGTAAATTGTACATGTTATCCCATTAGGTAATATATATGTAGCTTATTAAAGTTTTATATATATGGGTCAAGTGTAAAAAACACCCCTATTGTATATTTTGCATAATACTTTCATTTCATATTTTAAAAGGTGTGTTAATAATTCTTTTATTCCTTTAACATTGTGCGGAAACACCCTTCAAACAAAAATATGACATAAAATATGTTGTAATGTCCGTTTTGCCCTTTTACTCTTTAAAAAATACCCAAGAGGTGTGTATGGTAATAATC